TAAATGGCTGACCCTGCGCTCTGACCCCCAGCTTCTCTCCCTGTCTGTGTGTCTCATGGAGAGCAAGCTGGGGTCTGTGAATAGACACATACCTAATGTGAGAAGTTGAATATGGCCGATACAGTGATCTCTTAAATGCAAAGCCTAGTACTGAAGAGGGCAGGCACAAGCACAGCAGCGCGGTATGGCTCGTCTTAGGCATCTGGCAAGGCCCCGGTGCAGACAGTCGTGTGAGAGACTGTTTTAGAAGGCCATTTGAGAAGCGCTGGCTTAGTGATATGTTTCAGGGGGGGTTGCTGGAGTGTGAATTTATAAGGCAGCAGGAATAGACATCGGTGTGGCAAAAGATCGCACGTCTGGGTGTCTTAGTATGTTTTGGTACCTGAGCAGGCCGCTGCTGTCCTGGGATGTTGCTCGCGGGATCGAACTGTTCTGGAAGGGCCATGGAATTGATCCACTGGGAGCTGGCCCCTGCCGCTGTGGGGCTTGATCCAAGATCTGTGGGATGTGGGGATGTCTCGCAGGTGTTTGGTTTTTGTCTCTGTTTTTGGCTTTGCTTAGGAGCAGGAAAGGAATCGAAGAGCGGCCTCCCCAGTGTAGGAGCAGCTCTCGGGAAGAAAGATCGCTGAGATGAATTCAGGAGTCCAGCAGAGCTCACGGGGGACCGCTGGCTAATGACCAAGTCCGCCCTCGGCCCTCCTGAAGGGGCTGCCCTGGGCCGCTCGGGCTGTGGAAATCCCGAAAGAGGAGCTCCGCCGCGCGGACAGCGCCCTGCTGTTGCTCCGTTTCTATTTTTGGTCCCTCCTCTTTTTTTCCCGGAAGCGATAACCCCCCCGCCGGCTGCTTCCTCTTCCTGGGAAGGCCGAAAGCGATCTTCCCCCGCGAGGCCTTCTGCCTGGAGCGCCGCAGGGGCGCGGATTTCCCGAGCCAGGGGGAGATCCAGGTGATCCCTGCTCTGGGATCCCTAGCGGAGCTGTTCGTTTTGTCCCTCTCTCTCTCTCCAGGCGATTCCGAGGAGATGGAGGAGGATGCGGGCAGTGGGGGGGCCGTGGAGGGCGGGCCCTGGCAGATCCACGGGCAGCGGCCCTGGCGTCCGCAGAGCGACGGGCAGCTGGAGATGTCGGAGGACGAGAGGGAGGGGGCAGCCAGCACGGGAGGGGCGTCGGAGGACCGCAGGGATTCTCCAGACGACAGCGGAGGGGAGGACGTTCCCACTGCTGGGATTCTGGATGACCGCTGGACAGGAGGGAGTTGTCCTGAAGCCAGGATGACAGAAGCGGCCCCCCTTGACCGCCCGCAGGAGACTGCAGAGGGCAGGGGGGTCAGGAACGTGGGAGGAGGGCTCTCTGCTCCGGCCTGGTCCCCCCAGCTCCCTGTGCAGAGGGCTCGAGAGCCGCCCACAGCGTCCCGCGACAGTGTGGACTGGACCATCCTGAGCCGGTTCTCCAGCGAGGACCTGGCCAACGGGCCCGACATCGAGGCCGAGACCTTCCCCGAGTCCTCCTTCACCGAGAGCGTGGCGGGGTCGGTCAGCAGTCGCCCGAGTCGAGCCCCCGCCGGGGAGGGCTCGTCCCCGAGGGGGAGCACAGAGTCCGGGGGCGCAGAGCCGAGACGCGGCGGCCTCTGTCCCTTCCCCACGCCCTTCCCCCCCGAGTCCGGAGGGGAGTTCGGACAGGGAGACGAGGAGGCGGAGGATGACGAAGGTGTAGGGGCGAGGGCGGTGTCCTCTTGGATGAAACCTGTGCCCAGCCACGCGCCGTCCCCCACTGACCGAAACTCAAAGAGCGACACCCCCAGATCCTCTCGGCCTGCCCCTTCTCGTTCTGCAGACGGCCCCGGGACGGCCCCCTCAGAGCCCCCTGCGCGGCGAGGAGCTCAGACAGGAAACCACGGGGTCTCCAGACTGCCAAGAGGGGTGTCCCCCAAACCCTCGTCGGAGAGCTCCGGCACCCCTGTTATTGAACCCCCCAGGTCAGTCTGAGTGTAACACCCCACACCCAAAGTCTGGCAAGTTAAACCTTTAACCCCACCCAAGCTGACACCCCGTGATACCCTAAAAAAAGACGCTCCAAAACCAGATTTCGGACAGACCTAGTGGGTAATATCAAACACCTGCGAGTATCGATGGTTTCCAGGTTGTGATGAGCAAAATATGGAAAAAAAACAGTAAATTATGAACTGTAGATTCCAAAATGTATTTAAAAAAAGTCCTCGAATACTTGTTAAATCTGCGTGTCCATTCTTTTCCCCGACGATGATAACATCGTATCAGTTTGTCAGCAAGGTCAGATGATGGTAAAATAGGTCTTGGGATCCCCCAAGCGCCCCCTGCTGGTTGAAAGGTGTCACTACACCGGGGTTTTCCTTGAGTTGCGTCAGCTCCAGTCTGGTACCGACCACGTGTCTGATCAGAATGGTGCTGGCTCTAAGCCTGCCAAGGAAGTCTAGTTTAGACTGGGGTGTGAAAACTGCCTGCCCAACCACCGAGCTCACTGCACATTACTGCAGCGTGTCAGCGACGTCATATCTTATACTGCTGGTTAACCCTTATCAACACGCAGCCCTAATTAAAGGTGTGCACGCGCCGTCAGGCTTGGGATTATAATTCAGCGTCTGAGCGCTCAGAGCACTCAGCTCTTACCGGGCCCACCCAGGGGTGGGTTCTGCAGCTCTGTCTGAGCCTTCCTGGGGTGCTGTGCGCGGCACCCTGGGGGCTCAGCCTGGGTGAACCTGTCTCCGCGTCGCAGGTACGGCCGGGGCCCCCTCAACCACCCCCTCCCCGACTTCTCGAGGGTGGGGCCCAGGGTCCGGATCCCCAAGGACGGCTACAGACCCCCCCGGGGCCGGGGGTCGCCCCAGAAGAGA